CGGCATACATTTTGAACATGTAATAAGCGGCATACATTTTGAACATGTAATTAAATAAAGTGTATTTTCTTACATTCTAGTCGCGTGTTTACATTCAGTAATCTTTTCGGAATCAAATAATGGTCACATTACCAAAGTCAAAAGCTAAGTACTTCATATTTCCACTCCTGTAAATCGAGTAATATGTTAATAGAAATATCAAGTAATATATGTTTTGAATTCGTCTCGATGTCCTCTAATGATATGAATAAAAAAAAATGTATGTTCCTATTTAAAAAACCCAAGGTGACCTTGACTTTGTCAAGAGAACAAACTGTTTTCAAAATTTGCTTTACTAATATCTATTGTACACTTTATACCTTGCAAATATTGTTTTAAACATTTTTTCGTAAGGTGACTGCAAGTGGGAGAAAAATCGTGAGTAGCGTTACAGGTGTAACATCCCTGAAGAATTTTTAAACTTTTATTGCAGTGTCATTTCTTCAATTATCGACTGTATTTCTCCCTTACCGACCGCGACATTAGACAAATCGAGTATCATAAGAATTCAGTAAACTGTCGGTAATAAATGTGTAATTCTATAAGGAAAATTCCGCAATGCTATATGTTTACGTGCCGCGAAGCTCGCCCCGAATTTCCTGGAATTCTCGCGTAGTCTTAGAGAAGGATAGAAATACATTTTACAATTGCGATATTATTAGTTATTAAAAACTATTAGCTAAACAAATCAGTTAATATATATCAAGCGTACTAATATTATGTTATCCGGAAATAGAGTCAGATGTTAGTTTATTGCAGTATATATTGTAAATTATAATATTGTTCAATGGAATGTTCTAGAAGCATCGTATGCTTATACATTTAGCTCCGATCCGTGTATTCTGTGTCTTGTTCCATGTTTTAAAACCTACAAATATAACTACTCTTGATATACTCCTAATCTTTTCACTGTCTTCATTTCTAATATTTAATAAGAAAATCTTATATACCATATAAAATAAATACCATTTCTGCATATTTTACATGATAAATTATTTAGACAGATGATTTAACAATAACATAAATTTATAAATATATAAAAATAATCAAAAATATTAGTTTCTAAATATTCACATTAAGGCGATCAGCCCTGATTTTGATAAGCTTGCAATATATTGTCAGGAAGGTCATTTTGGACAACTTTTCCTTATACATGTACCCATTGTTCTGCTTTAGTTTTCAAACTATTTGCATAAGATTGCTGCTGTTATTATAGTGAATACTGCGTGTACTTACATATACTTTTGCAACGACGGTGTTTTACCATGGGGTCGTCGTTTCTTTACTGTTTTTGTAAACATCGCTGGGTAACACGCTGTATATACAGGGTGTTCAGAGATTTACTAGCCAGCGTTTTTCTCGTAAACGACTGATACGAGAAAAAAATAAAAGAGGAAAAAGTGATAGTGTTTTTTATAATCAACATAACGAATTACATAAATTTTTCGTGTTTATATTATTTTTTGAGAAGTGAAAGTAACCTTCAGTTTTTTAAGTGGAATGTTATATATTTTTTTATATCATATGAAAGGGCGTATCGAAACGAATTCAACGATGTACCATATCATGACCTTGAGACCCATTCAGAGTCAAAAACAAACGAAATATTTCAAATATTTCGTATTATTGTACTTACTGGTATTTCTTACTGATATGTTTACATTTCGTGTTCAATGTGGTTTCCATTAGCTAGAAAGCACTTTTCGTGGTTTTATGTTATGATTAGGTAATGATAATGGTGTTATGATAATGGGAACCACATTGAACACGAAATGTAAACATATAAGTAAGAAATACTGGTAAGTACAGTAATATGAAATATTTGAAATATTTCGTTTGTTTTTGACTCTCATTGGGTCTCAAGGTCATGATATGGTGTCGTTGAATTCGTTTCAATACGCCCTTTCATATGATATAAAAAAATATATACCATTCCATTAAAAAAACTTACTTCTCAAAATATAATATAAACACAAAAAATTTATATACTTCGTTATGTTGATTATAAAAAACACTATCACTTTTTCCCTTTTCATTTTTTTCTCGTATCAGTCGTTTACGAGAAAAACACTGGCTAGTAAATCTCTGAACACCCTGTATATACGAGGTGCGATCATTAAGTTCCGGGATTGTGTCTGCTGTGATCAAACGGATCATACGATTGACTTCTGCTCACAGAACATATGAATAACAATCTTCGAGACATATGACACGAAATTTGGAAGCGATATTTTCATTGAATCCTGTGTTATACAAGTTTATAATAGCATACGCACGCTCTCCTTTGTGAAATCACGATGGACTCTAAATTGGAACAAAAGGACATAAAAAATGGAACATGGTTGTCCTTCCTTACCTTCCGTATTCACTATATTTGGAACCCTATGATTTCTTTTTGTTTTCTAAAATCAAATTAAGGCTCAAGAGTCGCCGATTTGACACGGTGGATGAGATTCAACGCGAATCGCAGCAGGTGCTTGACATGCTTCGACAAGAAGACTTCTAGGAAGCTTCCCAAAAATGGCAGAGGCGCTGGGATTGGTGCATAGCTGCCCAAGGGGTGTACTTTGAAGGGGATAGTAACCAAATTTGAAACAGGTGATTTTATCTGCATATAAGGGACCAGTCCCGGAACTTAATGATCGCACCTCGTATATACAGGGTGTTCAGAGATTTACTAGCCAGTGTTTTTCTCGTAAACGACTGATACGAGAAAAAAATGAAAAGGGAAAAAGTGATAGTGTTTTTTATAATCAACATAACGAAGTATATAAATTTTTTGTGTTTATATTATATTTTGAGAAGTAAAGGTAACCTTCAGTTTTTTAAATGGAATGGTATATATTTTTTTATATCATATGAAAGGGCGTATTGAAACGAATTCAACGACGTACCATATCATGACCTTGAGACCCATTCAGAGTCAAAAACAATTTTATCTGCATATAAGGGACCAGTCCCGGAACTTAATGATCGCACCTCGTACATACTTATACATATACATATATATATTTATTTATTTATTTATTTGTTTATTATACATAAGTTATGTCAGCACAGAATTTAAATTGAGATTATGAACTTAATGTCACCGCTGGAATTTATTATGAACGATACTCAATTTAAAGAATTTTAAATTGCGCGCAGTTTTTCGTACATGTCTTTGTTTCATCATTGTTCTCACATTTATATTAGTTATATTG